AGGCACTTTCGTAAATGGAAATTGCCTGCCTGCTGCGTGAAGCCTGGCTGTGCTGGGCCCCTGCCCAGAAGCTTGTGGTAGGCCCCGAGAGACGGTGCCCCAGTCCACATGAATCAGGCCATGGGCCTCTGGTAGTTGCCCGTGTCCAACTGCCATCGGCCTGTGTTCGGTCCATGTTCCGTATCTCGCATAGGGCCTGCCTCAGTTACATACGAAAAAGGCACCCTGGGCCTGGGCGTTCTCAACCAACTGGTGCTGCGCAACTGCCTGAATTTAACCAGTTGCGCAGTGATCCAAAATTAGGCCTATTGGCCCTGGGTCAAGCCTGCCTTCACTTAGGGCGGCCTACTGTACAGAAAGTAGGGCCCAGTAAGGCAGATCGAGGCCGTGAGCCTCACACTTCTTCTTCTTTGCTGTTTTTTTTCCCCTTCATCTTCTTCTTCTTCGGGCAATTCGGCGGTGGTGGTCAGACATAGACACAGCACAGACAGACAGACATCAGAGAGAGAGAGAGAGAGAGAGAGAGAGAGAGAGAGAGAGAGAGAGAGAGAGAGAGAGAGAGAGAGAGAGGGAACAGGTTAGTCCCCAACCTCGCAGCTGGCCTCATGGTACTTCCATCGATAGGATGAGTCAAATCAAATGACTCTACCGGTAGAACATGGAAATATCCAATGCCATTTCTTTCGTGTGTGTGTGTGTGTGTGTGTGTGTGATATATATATATATATATATATATATAGAGAGAGAGAGAGAGAGAGAGAGAGAGAGAGAGAGAGAGAGAGAGAGAGAGAGAGAGAAAACATTATTTTTTTTTTTTGAAAATGGTTATCTTTGTTGGGGATTATTTTATTATTATTATTTTTTTTTTACCAGAACACTGGCCGCCAAATGTCGTATGATCCAGGCACTCCAGGCACTCCAGCCTGGTTCATACCAAGGCTGCTTTTGAATTATGAAAGCCGGAAAACTGGTAAATAGACAAGAGTTTTGTTTTGAAAAAAAAACAAAAAACTTTGTGTTGAAGGTTTTCTATTATTATTATTATTATTATTATTATTTTCCCCACCTGAAAACAACCCCCCCGAAATTTCACTTTTTTTTTGTCGTTGTCGATTATGACGGGCGACACCATGCACAGGCAATCCGTGTGCCCCGATTTTGGGCACGCGGCTTCACCTGCGTGTGGCGGCCGCAGAAAAGGTCGGCTGCGGGGTCACGGCTGGCCGTGGGGGCCACGTAGAGCTGACCTAAGTAGGAGAAAGGAGAGAACGCCTACCTACCCACTGTAATTCGGAAATATGTTAGGGAAAACCAGGGGGCAGTCAAGGTTTTCAGTTTCAAATGTGTTTCAGTCACGGTTTGGCCAATTTTACTCCAAAGGGAGGAAAATCGTGAATGTATCCAACCCAGCCTGAGGGTTGGGTGGGGATGAGTTGTATTCAAAGGATTCCTGAAGTGGATTTAGAACTGATAACGTGACTCGGTCATATTTACCCCATCATTTTATTCTGGTCATCTGATTGTAATATCTGGATTCAAACCCAGGTCTGTGTTTCAAAAGCCTCGACCTTCTAAAATCAACATATATATATATACATATATGTT